GCTCTGTGTAAGAACCCTAAAATCTTTCAGACTGCCCTTTAAAATCTAGACCGCCTCCTGAAAAGAAATTGAGTTTTTCACGTCATGAGATAGAGATAAAAACTGTCAAAAAGAAATTGTCATTATAATAGCTTCAATCTCTGTATTTCTGTGAACTAATTTGAAAAATTAAATCCCAGATTTTGACAAAACCGGAAACGTCTCCCCTCTGCAAAATGCCATAGGTCATCCAGAAAGTTGTAAGCAAGGCTACACGTAAAAAGTGACGAGATTTACTTAACTTCGTCTTTTAAATCTCACTGCTCAGTTCTGAGATATCCAATTATGCGCTTGCAATGACACCTATTAGAAGTCTAGATACAGTTCCACGAAGTATTGTTCAAAAGAAGAACGGAAGTTGGACTACGCCCTCATAGCGCCGTCCTCAAATTCTTGTTACCTTATGATAATTCACCATCTTTTAAAACCCTTTGCCCACCTGAAATTACCTCTGTCAATCCTATCACCGGAACCTAACCACCAATTTTTATTTCCCTCTACGAACTACCCAGTACGCCTACAAATCTGAAGTCGCAACCGTAGAACAGCAATGCTGAAGCGCTGGAACAGTGTTAAGTCACTCTCAAATTCAGCTCAGTTCTCAACAAACCCACTGGCTTCCAACATCAGTCCTTGAAAAGCCTGTCTTACTAAAGAGATAAACCAAGACACCGTCCGTACAACAGCCTAAGCACTTCAAACCAACCGTTTAATCCAATCTCTAATTGTAGCATTTAACTAGCCATCAACATAAACCTACCAAAACTAAACCACTATTTTCCAATCCGGTGGCCCTGTAACTTTTACCGGTCGCAATAGGACAGAACCAAATTCACTGCAATTACCATTCACAAGCTTCATTAAAGGAAATCGGGCTAACAAACCACGTTTCAGACCTCTATGACACTTCCGCGTCCTCATCTCCGTCAAACAAGCACACAACAATCATGAAGCAGTCCTATAACACTTACGAGCTACTAAAAGAATTTGAACGTCACCAACTGCGCCTAACTATATTTCCGACATTACATATCTACAACTTTTCAGATGCCGTCCTGTAAAAAATGGTAATGCTGAAGCAAAACCAGAAGCTACTGCAACAATGAGATGCAGAATTTACTTTGATGGCACACGGGGAATTACACACAAATCACTTTACAATTTGCAAAACCACAGCTCCGTCACGCACCGTACTACAATAATGACAAAAAATGAACAAAATGAAACTAAATAATAAACAACTTGGAAAACAACAAAAGCAAAAAAGCAAGTTAAAACAAAATACAGTGGTTTAAAACTTGTAACTAACTTTCAACAGATAAATTAAAAAGCAAGAATTGTAAATGAGGGAATACAAACATGTATACTTCCCTCCCATTCTTGAAATTCTTAACGCAGAGAACCATTATCAATGTAATATGAAGACAAAAGTAGGCATCCTAATCAGCTAATAACTTGCATTTATTAGCAAAAGACCCCAACAAGATGAAACAATACTGTTCACACATCCTGACTTGACAAACCAATCTCAGATTTTTAGTTCAATTATTATTAGAATAAAACCTGAAGCAAAATAAAAATTTAAGGAAAACGTCCTCAAAGAAATTGTGCAAAAATCCGACTGCTTCATATAGCCATTAGAGCAGCAAAATCGCCCTCACGAAGTAACAAGGTTAGCCAAGACCAGTAGACTCCTAAATTCAAGCTATAAAATTGAGAGGAAATAGAAAATGACTAACGCGACAATCAGCTATCAGATCTAGAAAATGTCTAGTAGACTGATTTTATAAATGGTATTCAAACGTTTCTTCCAGACAAATAACAAGTCAGGGTTAGAAATCTTTAGCTTCCTGAATTAACTAGAAGTAGAGTCAGCCGTTACTTTACCTTCACTTAATGACTTTAAAGGCACTATGTCAAATTTTAGTAAACAGATGTACAACTAAAATATTAACAATGGAAATCAACAGTTGTCCCGAGGTGCCCTCTCATAAACCCCAAAAGATGAATAAAAGATAAAGAAAGAACAAAAAAACAATTTAAAACCCCCTACTTCAGCCGAAATAAAGAAGGCATTTCTTTCTATAGCTCGTGACATGAAACCAATACCGTTACTAAACATAGGGCCTACTCGCTTCGAACCGACATAGCTGCAACAAAAAAGTTAGAAGAGTAACATTAGAGGTGTAACACACTCGACGATTTTTGAAAACGTTAGATTATGCAAATTCTATTTGATCACAAAGGACTGTAATAACCATCAATGTTTTGAGCCACCTTAAAGGGATAGAGTGTGGGCTGGACCAGGAATTTCCAAGCTGACTGGTGTTATTATTGTTATCACTCGCCATACATATTGGGCGTCTCGAGTGACGTTCTAGAGGCTTGTGGTTACTGTACGGCCCTTTCAAAGCATGGCGTACCTGTTACAGAAAAAATTACATCACATCATCGCCCAAATCATCGTGAAAAGAAGGTAAAGAAAAAAGTATGCTTTGTAGCTACCCGTCGCTCTTTTGACACAATTTTTTTCAATGACGAGTAATTATTAGTTCCCTCAAGCAAACGACTTCAAGAACAAAAAAGATAAGTTGAAGCTAATTTCGCTATAAGTTGCATCATCTGCAGAAATTAGGGGGAACTCTGCAGAGCTGGGGTTGCCTTTAACCGTTGGAATTACTACCTAGAAGCAAAGCTAAATAAGTCGAAATTCATGCAACGACTCCTACTTTTTAACATTAAAATCATAGACAGCAAACGTACAATGCATAAAAGTAATAACTTCGAGAGAGTAATTTTACAGAAATACTGCGAAAAAATTCGATAAGAAGAAATATATTTTACAAAATTTTCTGCTCAGAAGAATGACGCAACTTTGGATAAAATGCATTATATTGTGCTGCTTCTAATTTTTCTCCAAATAAAACGTCACTTCATCTGCTGTGATGTTGTATTAAGAGTCGATGCAAACCTAAATCAGTTAACTGAATACAGAAACGATGCACTACAAGAAATCTTTTTCGGTACTTTCCTCACCCACCCACCCACCACATCTTCAAGTCCCACTTCCGATATAGGAAGAAACTGCATATTTTTAAAAGCAATTAAAAAATGTAGTTTCTGACGAAGGCCAAACCGTTTTCTGCAATACCTTGGCATAGGTCCCTACCAATTAATGATCACTTCACAAGTGTTACATATTAACTGCTCACGTTTTTATAAGTTAGAGCAAATGGATTTTCATAAGAACCAAGAACTTTGTTCACGAATGACAGAATTACACGCCCTGAAGGCAAACGACGCTGCACAAAACCGCTGTGCTTTGTTGGACTATAAAAGAGCCAATAATTCACTTCGCCAGACTCTTCTTCTTCAAACTGAGCTCTTAGACCTAATGTTGAAATTTCGAAAGGAATTGAGACTCAAATTAACAGCAACTAGCACCTGTAATAACTTTTATGCCTGATCATAAGCAGAAGAGTCACCTGCCAACAACGTGCGCAATAATAATTAAAGCAGATCCGCTCTCGGCAAAAATAAGGGCCAATCGTTAAACTGCACTGTGAACATTTTGAAAGCTGAATGTAAGGGTCCACCTGAACTCGCTTTGAAAACTTTGAAGTCCGAATTTCAAAAAAGCCATCCTCAACTGCCCGATAGAAGGACGTACTGGATAAAAAAGTTACTCGTCCGCTTCCTGCCGTGAACTATATGTTAATTCGTTGAAAAGAGGTCTACTAATTCACACTCAGAGAACC